TGTGTACACGTGTGTACACATGTGTACACATGTGTATATATGTACATATTTCAGGTCCTTGGCCTGAAAAATGTTGAAGACCCCTGCTCTAAAGGATTTGATGTGTCTCGTGTCTTTTGTACTTGAAGTCTTTCTACTTTTGTTTCACCTGCTTTTGAAACCTCCCTCAAGGAGTTTCATTGACCAATCGGTTTGATCGAGGTCAACATGATGGTTGTCATGTGGACGTCTCTGGGACGTTGAGAGACTCTGTCTGTCCTCCTGTAAGACAGCCTCAGGTGTCTCCATATTTCCATCTGTCTGTCTCAGGTGCGTCTGGAGCCAAAGGGGAAGTACTACAATGCCTTCATCCAGGAAGTAGGAACACACCCGTCAGCCGTCACCGTCTTCATCGAGGAGCTGGGAGAGAAGTAACGCACAACCTGACTGAAACTAACTTGAGCTGAGAACCACGAAGACGTCTTTCATGTCCACATGTCCTTCTCTGTCTCAGACACCTGGTTCCTCTGACGGATCTGAAACCAGTCAATCCAGTTCCAGCCTGGAACATTGCTGCTCCCACCAGAAAGGGAGACCTGGGTTCGTTCACTCTGAGGTCCACTTTGTGTCCCCTCTCCAGATGTTTAGTCTAATACCTCATGTCTCCACTGTGTCCCCTGTCTCCACTGTGTCCCCCGAGTCCCCCGTCTCCATTGTCTCCCCTGTCTCCCCTGAGTCCACGTCTCTGTGTTGTCGTCGCCATGTGTCCCCGTATCAATCAAAATTTATTTGTATATATTTTAAAATGCAACAAAGGTTGCCCAAAGTGCTGCACATACAGTAGATAAGCAGTCATACAATCAAAAACTGTATTAATAACGGTGACATTAAAATCAAGACAAACTGACACAAATCACACAAAAGTACCATGTTCAGATCATAGGTGATAGCCAGGGAATATAAATAGGCTGTTAAACGTTGGTAAGGTGGATGACAACCTAACATGAAGGGGAAGGTTGTTCCACAGCTGAGGGGCGGCCCGGGTTGTCATTTGTTTTTGGAACAACTAAAAGCTGTTGGCCGAGAGTTCTTAGTGAGCGAGGTGGTATATGGCTAGCAGGTCACACAGACTGGGGCAGCGCCATTTTAAACACTTAAAAACAAATAACATTTTAAAATTCTGTACTCTACAGGCAGCCAATGAAGAGATTTTTAGATCGGTGAAATGTGTTCACGCCTGCGTGCACCAGTTAAAAGTCTCGCTGCAGAGTTCTGCACGAACTGAAGGCGTGATAGAAGTTTTTTGCCGATTCCAGCAGACAAAGAATTACAATAGTCCAGCCTGGAGGTGATAAAAGCATGAGTAACTTTCTCCAGGTCTTTCGAGGAGAGAGAGGCTTCTTTCTGCTAAGAGTCTTAGCTGAAAGAAGCCGACTTTGACCATGGACGCAACTTGGAGATCCAATATAAAGGATGAGTCCAAGATCACACCCAGATTTTTGACATGGAATTTGCAGTGGGTTGTCATGAGGCCAAGACACAATGAATGTCTGTTCTAGCAGCTGAAATGTGAGAGGGATTTATTACCATGACCTCTGTTTTACCTTCATTGTGGCATAGAACATTTAGCGAGAGACAGCTTTTGACATCAGCCAGGCAGCGCATTCATTTATTGAGGCAGTTCCAGGTTTGAAGGGAAGGTATATTTGAATGTCGGCAGCATAGAGGTGATAATAAATGTTGTTTCTGGAAAATGGATCCAAGAGGAAGCATGTACAGTGTGAACAGTAGTGGACCCAAAATGGACCCCTGCGTACCCCACAGGTCAGGGGAGCCGGTTGAGAGGAGCAGTTGCCCATGTTGACAGAATGATCTGTCGGTCAGGTAGGACTTAAAACATTGTAGGGCAGTACCTCGGATGCCGACGGAGAGCTCAAGTCGGGAGATTAAAATGTCGTGGTCCAGTGTCGAAGGCAGCAGAGAGATCAAGTAAAAGCAAAATGGCGGGATTTCCAGCATCCGCAATGAGTAAAAGGTCGTTAGAATTTTTTAAAAGGGCAGATTCAGTGCTGTGAGACATTCTGAAACCAGGTTTAAAAACATCAGATGCCGGTCAAGCTGATAAAAGATTGAAGCTGTTGAAATAAAACTCTCAAAGATCTTTGACAGAAAAGGCAAGGTGGATATTGGTCTGTAATTTCATGGGTCAGAGGGTTCCAGATTAGGTTTCTTGATGAAAGGAATTACTGTTGCATGTTTGAAATAGACAGCTGTTCATGATTGACAGTATACATGGTCCAAGTTCAACAAAAGCCTGTTTAAAGAGACCTGAGGGGATGATGTCAGAGTGGCACATTGTAGGTTTTAGTTGATCAACAATTTTAGTGAGAGCTGGGAGGGAAACGGGCTTAAAATGGTCCAACACAGGAGAAGTGGGAGAGTTACTTGGATCAGTGTAGTGGGATGTAACACGAGACCTAAGTTGAGATTTTGTCCTGGAAGAACCTAAGAAAGGTGTCTGAGACATACTTAAACACGTCGTGATCGGGGGGTTGATAACAGAGTTAATGGTGTTGAAGAGAATTGTTGGCCTGTGGCAGTGATTTGCAATTAAGTCAGAAGTAGCTGTTTCTAGCTGACTTAACTGCATTCTGGTAGTTAGAGTTCAAAGGACACATGGAGCCTGTCTTTCTTCCATTTTCTCTCAGCCCTCCCATATGTCTCGCCATGTCTCCCTGTATGTCTCACTGTCTCCATGTCGCCTTGTCTTCATGTCTCCATGTCTCTTCTGCCAGACACGGACCCTCGTGGTCAGCGACATCACCGTCATCGCTACTTCAGGAAGTCTCGTGGCAGCAGCGGGTTGAAGGGGGCGGAGCTTCTGATGCCACCGCCGTCCTACGGAGGCCCGGCTCCCTCCGCCCTGCCCCCCCGCTTCCAGCCAGCGGGCCACCCCCGCCCGCCCTCACCCCTGTCACCGGGAGCTATGACCTACGACCCCTACGCCCCCCCACACCACCACCACCACCACCCCTCAGCCAGACCTCGCTATGGAGCCTCCAGGTGGGACTCGAGCAGAACAACACCTGTACATTACGTTAGTCATTTAGCAGACGCTTTTATCCAAAGAGACTTACAATAAGTGTATTCAACATATCCAAGAGAACTACTAGTCACCAGAAGTCATAAGTGCATCTCCTTTAAACAAGCATCTAAGAGCATAGACCAGAGCAGAAACGAACTAGTATGAATACAATAAGTGGTGAGTGGAAGGCTCGGGGTAGTACTTCTTGAAGAGGTGAGTCTTCAGCCTGATGAAAGATGGGCAGCGACTCTGCTGTCCTGACGTCAGTGGGGAGTTCATTCCACCACTGTGGGGCCAGGACAGAAAACAGCCGCGACCGGGTCGATTGGCCGCAGGGACCTCTGAGCGACGGGGGAACCAATCGCCCCGAGGCAGCAGAGCGAAGTGGTCGGGCGGGGGGGTAGGGCTTGACCGTGGCCTGGAGATAGGAAGGAGCTGTTCCTGTCACTGCCCTGTAGGTAGGTGGAGGAAGTAAGGGGGGAGAGGAGAGGGAGTAGTACATGAAATAGTGGTCAGAGAGCTGGAGGGGAGTGACAGAGAGGTTAGCAGTAGAACAGTGTCTAGTGGAGATGAGATCCAGCTGGTTGCCTTGTGGGTAGGAGGAGATGAGTGGTAAAGGTCAAAGGAGAGGAAGGAAAGAAGAGGTTCTAACTCATCAGTCTGGATGTTGAAGTCGCCAAGCAGGATGAGTGCGGAGCCATCATCATAGAAGTGCGAGACTGTGTCGAGCTCCTCCAGGAACTCACCAAGAGGCCCTGGTGGGCGATACACAACAGCAATGGTGAGCTTGACCGGATAAGTGACAGTAACAGCATGAAATTCGAAAGAGGACGGGGAGAACTGTGGAACAGAGACAAGAGAGTATTTCCATTTTTGGAGAGATTAGCAGGGCAGTACCACCACCTCACCTCGCAGCTCTGGGAGTGTGAGAGACAGAGTACACATCTGACAGAGCTGTGGGTGTGGTGGTGTTTTCTGGTGTGATCCAGGTCTCAGTTAGAGCAAGAAAGCTGAGGGAGAGCAAGGATGCATAGCCTGAGATGAACTCAGCTTTTGGCACTGCCGACTGGCAATTCCAGAGCCCTCCTGCCACCACTTGCTCGCCATGAGCTGAGAGAGTAGGATAGGTGAGGTTAGTGGGGTCACGGCATTTGGGAGTGGCCCAATGTCTACGTGACCACCGGACAGAGGAACGGACAGAAATAGGATGCAAACACATGGTAGTCAATCTAAACAGATTACTGACCCGAAAGTACACACTCGAGAAGTCTGTGCTTGACAAAGTCTGGCTTGAAAAAGGTGCTCTGTTGACTTTGTTCACCCTAGTCTTAGTTTGCCTGACGCTTCCAACCACCAGCAGTGGTGGTTAAGGACAGCTACCTACTGATTGCTCATTGTCTGCCTGGAGTGCAAGCCACTCCCCTGCCACTTAAGAGGGCAATTGACCAGGTGAAACTAAATCACACCTACCTTACACAATCACAAACTGCAAAAAGCACCAACACTGAAGCAGGCTAGGTACAGCTAATAACTAGTAAAATCAAGAACAATATACTTAGTCTATTCTAGCTGAGTTAGTAGTTCAGTATCCCTCCAGAAGCCAAATACACTCTGGAGTGAAACTTTGACTCGACTGATTATTTATATCCTTGAGATGTGCAAGCCACACCCCTGTCGGTCACCTGTGTGTGTGTGTGTGTGTGTGTGTGTGTGTGTGTGTGTGTGTGATGGATTCTGGTCAGAAGCTCCACCCGTTTCCTGAACCGTCACCTGATTGGTCCTCAGTTGACCTATTACCACCCTGGCAGGAGATATTACCATGACTACGAGAGCTATGCCTTCAGGTCACGGTAAACAACACGCATCACATGACACATGGTGACCATGACAACAGGACTACCACAAAGACAAACGTTTGTCGTTGACGTCGTTTGTTTTTGTTCAGTCGCAGTCGCCGTCAGCTGGCGGCGGCCATGAATAAAGACGGTCAGTTTGGTTTCCCCCCGGAGGTCGAGGAGGAGGAGCCGTCCGACCTGGACGCCACCATCACCTTTTACCAGCTGGACGCCGCCGACGGAGTCTTCCCTCCACTGGCTGTGAGGAAAATACCATGTCTCCTTGTTATGTCTCCTTGGTGTCATGTCTCCTTGTCGACGTGTCTTTGTCGTCATGTTTCCATGTCTCCTTGGTGTCATGTCTCCTTGTCGACGTATCTTTGTCGTCATGTTTCCATGTCTGCTTGGCATCACGTCTCCATTGTCTCCTTGGCGTCACGTCTGCTTGGCATCACGTCTCCTTGGCGTCACGTCTCCATTGTCTCCTTGGCGTCGCGTCGCGTCACGGTCTCATGGCGTCATTGTCTCCATGTCTGCTTGGCGTCATTGTCTCCTTGGCGTCATGTGACTGATGTAATATAATGTGGCTCCTCCCCTTCTCAGGGCCCCACTGTGGCCCCTCCTCCCTCAATGGGAGCCCCGCCCCCTTCCACTGGCTCCTCCTACAGAGTTCAGAGAGGCTCGGGGCCCCTCCCCCCCGCACCTCCTCCAGGGAGCAACCCCATCTGTTCATCAGAGGAGGATCAGGAGGACACCAGCACCGTGGAGGACCAGGGTCAGTCCTCTTTTATTGTGGAGGAGACAGCAGGAAGTTGTTCCATGTAATCTGATTACTGTGTGTGTTTCTGTCAGCTGAGTACACAGAGGATTACATCTACATCACTCAGGGTGAGTAAAGCTTACCTGGAAGTCTTCATTAAGGGACAAGGAGACAAGAAAAGGGAGTGATGCAGTCTGAATGTGACCTGTTTTCAGATCAGAACTACCAGACCTCAGGTGTTTACTCTGCTGCTGAGCCCTCCACCAACCAGGTAACACACCTGACCTCAGACCTGCTGGATGTTTTCATAGTGGGTTTGTGTTGTGGCATCTCAAATCCACAAATGAGACAAAAAAAATGTTTCTCTTATTTTGAAAGGACGACCAGGAAAGAGGAACTGCTGACTCTCCACCGAGATCAGAGATGAACTACAGCTACACACAGCAGGTACACACCATGTTTACACCATGTTTACACATGTCGCCCTCGCCAACGTCTTCGCCTACATCCCTTTACCTACGTCCCCTCGCCTACATCCCTTTACCTTTGTCTCACCATCAATCGGTCAACGTATCTGAGCTTCTCTTCACTTAAAACATGCCGATAGCTTCCTGAAATGGTTAGATTCTGTACTAATTCAGTGTTTGTTTATTTCAGGTAGTGAAACCATTAGTCATCTGCTCTTCACCCTCCTCTTCATCCTCCTCACCCTCTTCTCCATCATCACGTGTACCTGCAACTGCCCACCTGCCGGCAGCCACACAGACACGCTCAGGTACACAGTCTTACAGACACACACGCACACACACACAGAGTGCAATACAACAAAGGTGATTGTGGTTTTTTTTTTTCTGTTCTTAGTTGCCATGGCGATTCCAGCCTCTTCTCCATGGTTGGTTAACGAGTTAGGTGAGCCTGTCTGCACCATGGTAGCTCCGCCCCCTTACTCCTATGACCCTAACGGCAGTGATTTACCCCGAGGTCAGAGGTCAACCAACATAAACACACCGTGTCACTTCCTGTTGCAGCTTTTCGTCTCACTTCGTGTGTGTGTGTGTGTGTGTGTGTGTGTGTGCGTGCGTGTGTGTGCATAGACTGCAGAGTCCTCCAGTATTACTTCAACTTAGGAGTCCAGGTAAGAGAATAACTAACTCTGGCCCCCCCCCAACTCTTTACTAACTAACCCCCCGCCTCCCCCTCTACAGTGGTACCATCAGAGCTGTTGGCAGCAGCAGGCGTATCCCGCCACCTCGCCGGAGGCCTCCTACTCCTACCAGCACTACACCCCCTACCTGAACCAAGAGCCCCCTCTGCATGGTAAGGTCTGCTCACTCTCTGATTGGCTGCTGGGTGAGAGAGCTGTCAGTTCATTGGTGGTGTGACCACCAATCAGCAGCATCCTCAGCTCTTATTATCAAATGTCGAACTGACAGTTTTTACTGTACTTAATGAGTGAGTTAATGACTTGCTTAAAAAGATTAATGAGTTGGTTCGTGTGTTGAGTTGGTTCACGTTTTGATGAGTTTGTGAGTTAGTTAATGGGTTAGTTAGTTTTAGAGGTAGTAATGAGTTGAGCTGATCTGAAGCCTGATGGTTCATCAGCTGATTCTTCTGTATCTCAAGATGTTCTGTTTTTTTAATATCTTTTAAATTCCTCCTTTTTCTGGTGACTCTGCTTGTGTTCTGGTTCTAGATGTTCTGGTTTTAATCTGTAGAGCTCTAATCTACTGGACCCTGAACCTCTCGTGGTAGTTTGTAATGTCTCTGTTGCGCCTCTGAAGTAAACAAGAACTTCTTCAGTTTCCTTCATGAATACAGATGTTGATGAGGACAACGTCAGGAACTTAAATCTGTTCACTTGTTTGTTTATATGACCTCATCGTATGATTTATTTATGATATATTATCATATATATTATTATACTGCTGCGCCCCCCCAGCCGTCACTCCTTTGTACCCTGAGACTCGAGGACTCCATCAACCCCCCTCCTACTACCCAGAATCCACCAGGGCAGGAGACGGACAGACGGACGGACACAGCGGCGGTCAGTACTCTCTGTTGTGTCACATAGTGAAGATCTCTCTCTCTATATGCTGGTCATATAATTAGAATATCATCAAAAAGTTGATTTATTTTACTAATTCCATTCAAAAAGTGAAACTTGTCTATTATATTCATTCATTAGACACAGACTGATATATTTCAAATGTTTATTTCCTTTAATTTTGATGATTATAACTGACAACTAAGGAAAATCCCAAATTCAGTATCTCAGAAAATTAGAATATCGTGAAAAGGTTCAATATTGAAGACACTTGGTGCCACACTCTAATCAGCTAATTAATTCAAAACACCTGCAAAGGCCTTTAAATGGTCTCTCAGTCTAGTTCTGTAGGCTACACAATCATGGGGAAGACTGCTGACTTGACAGTTGTCCAAAAGACGACCATTGACACCTTGCACAAGGAGGGCAAGATACAAAAGGTCATTGCAAAAGAGGCTGGCTGTTCACAGAGCTCTGTGTCCAAGCACATTAATAGAGAGGCGAAGGGAAGGAAAAGATGTGGTAGAAAAAAGTGTACAAGCAATAGGGATAACCGCACCCTGGAGAGGTTTGTGAAACAAAACCGATTCAAAAATGTGGGGAGATTCAGGAAGAGTGGACTGCAGCTGGAGTCAGTGCTTCAAGAACCACTACGCACAGACGTATGCAAGACATGGGTTTCAGCTGTCGCATTCCTTGTGTCAAGCCACTCTTGAACAACAGACAGCGTCAGAAGCGTCTCGCCTGGGCTAAAGACAAAAAGGACTGGACTGCTGCTGAGTGGTCCAAAGTTATGTTCTCTGATGAAAGTAAATTTTGCATTTCCTTTGGAAATCAGGGTCCCAGAGTCTGGAGGAAGAGAGGAGAGACACACAATCCACGTTGCTTGAGGTCCAGTGTAAAGTTTCCACAGTCAGTGATGGTTTGGGGTGCCATGTCATCTGCTGGTGTTGGTCCACTGTGTTTTCTGAGGTCCAAGGTCAACGCAGCCGTATACCAGGAAGTTTTAGAGCACTTCATGCTTCCTGCTGCTGACCAACTTTATGGAGATGCAGATTTCATTTTCCAACAGGACTTGGCACCTGCACACAGTGCCAAAGCAACCAGTACCTGGTTTAAGGACCATGGTATCCCTGTCCTTCATTGGCCAGCAAACTCGCCTGACCTTAACCCCATAGAACATCTATGGGGTATTGTGAAGAGGATGATGTGAAATGCCAGACCCAACAATGCAGAAGAGCTGAAGGCCACTATCAGAGCAACCTGGGCTCTCATAACACCTGAGCAGTGCCACAGACTGATCGACTCCATGCCACGCCGCATTGCTGCAGTAATTCAGGCAAAAGGAGCCCCAACTAAGTATTGAGTGCTGTACATGCTCATACTTTTCATGTTCATACTTTTCAGTTGGCCAAGATTTCTAAAAGTCCTTTCTTTGTATTGGTCTGAAGTAATATTCAAATTTTCTGAGATACTGAATTTGGGATTTTCCTTAGTTGTCAGTTATAGTCATCAAAATTAAAAGAAAAACATTTGAAATATATCAGTCTGTGTGTAATGAATGAATATAATAGACAAGTTTCACTTTTTGAATGGAATTAGTGAAATAAATCAACTTTTTGATATTCTAATTATATGACCAGCACCTGTGTATCTCTCGCTCGCGCTCTCTCGCTCTCTACACACACATACAGTGGGGAAAACAAGTATTTAGTCAGCCACCAATTGTGCAAGTTCTCCCACTTAAAAGATGAGGCCTGTAATTTTCATCATAGGTACACTTCAACTATGAGACAGAATGAGAAAAAAAAAAATCCAGAAAATCAGTTTTTTTTTTTTTTTTTTTTTTTTTAAAAGTTTATTTGCAAATTATGGTGGAAAATAAGTATTTGGTCAATAACAAAAGTTCATCTCAATACTTTGTCATTGCCAACAAAGGGTATATAACAGAGGTCAAACGTTTTCTGTAAGGCTTCACAAGCTTTTCACACACTGTTGCTGGTATTTTGGCCCATTCCTCCATGCAGATCTCCTCTAGAGCAGTGATGTTTTGGGGCTCTCGCTGGGCAACACGGACTTTCAACTCCCTCCACAGATTTTCTATGGGGTTGAGATCTGGAGACTGGCTAGGCCACTCCAGGACCTTGAAATGCTTCTTACGAAGCCACTCCTTCGTTGCCCGGGCGGTGTGTTTGGGATCATTGTCATGCTGAAAGACCCAGCCATGTTTCATCTTCAATGCCCTTGCTGATGGAAGGTTGCCACTCAAAATCTCACGATACATGGCCCCATTCATTCTTTCCTTTACACGGATCAGTCGTCCTGGTCCCCTTGCAGAAAAACAGCCCCAAAGCATGATGTTTCCACCCCCATGCTTCACAGTAGGTATGGTGTTCTTTGGATGCAACTCGGCATTCTTTCTCCTCCAAACACGACGAGTTGAGTTTTTACCAAAAAAGTTCTATTTTGGTTTCATCTGACCATATGACATTCTCCCAATCCTCTTCTGGATCATCCAAATGCTCTCTAGCAAACTTCAGACGGGCCTGGACATGTACTGGCTTAAGCAGGGGGACACGTCTGGCACTGCAGGATTTGAGTCCCTGGCGGCGTAGTGTGTTACTGATGGTAGCCTTTGTTACTTTGGTCCCAGCTCTCTGCAGGTCATTCACTAGGTCCCCCCGTGTGGTTCTGGGATTTTTGTTCACCATTCTTGTGATCATTTTGACCCCACGGAGTGAGATCTTGCGTGGAGCCCCAGATCAAGGGAGACTATCAGTGGTCTTGTATGTCTTCCATTTTCTAATAATTGCTCCCACAGTTGATTTCTTCACACCAAGCTGCTTACCTATTGCAGATTCAGTCTTCCCAGCCTGGTGCAGGTCTACAAATTTTGTTTCTGGTGTCCTATGACAGCTCTTTGGTCTTGGCCATAGTGGAGTTTGGAGTGTGACTGTTTGAGGTTGTGGACAGGTGTCTTTTATACTGATAACGAGTTCAAACAGGTGCCATTAATACAGGTAACGAGTGGAGGACAGAGGAGCCTCTTAAAGAAGAAGTTACAGGTCTGTGAGAGCCAGAAATCTTGCTTGTTTGTAGGTGACCAAATACTTATTTTACCGAGGAATTTACCAATTAATTCATTAAAAATCCTACAATGTTATTTCCTGGATTCTTTCCCCCCATTCTGTCTCTCAGAGTTGAAGTGTACCTATGATGAAAATTACAGGCATCTCATCTTTTTAAGTGGGAGAACTTGCACAATTGGTTGCAGACTAAATACTTTTTTCCCCCCACTGTACATCTTCCTTGTCAAAACCTGCTGCCTACATTACCCACAATGCACCTCTCCCTGCTGACGGCAGTGTGGTAGGTTGTGTTATACAAATAAGCTTTTATTATATGGTCATTATTAATAATTATTATTGGTTAATATGAATCTATTAATAACAATAAGATTATATCAATCACACAAGATGTTTTTAGATTAAACATGAGACTAATAGCCATCATGAGGTCATCGATGACCACGTGTTCATGATGTTAGTGCAAGTCGGGCACAAATCTACCCAGCATGCATTGTGATGGGGACTCCTCTCTGACTTGAGACATCACTGGAGGCTCCTCTGATCTAATGTGATCTGTTCCATCTCTATCAGGCCCCGCCCCTTCAGGAGAAGGCCCCTCCTCCTCAACTAGCCCCGCTCCTCCAGGCACCGCACCCCCTCTCCTGTACCAGGATCAGACGCCCCTCCCATCCCCGTCGCTGCTGCACCTGCCGTACGAAGCTCCGCCCCCCGCCACCTACCTGCCCTCGGCCCCTCCTCACCTCACCCATCACTCCTCCTACTGCCTCCCCCCCTCCACCCACTGGGGGGCCCTGCAGACTGGAGGCCACACACAGCGGGTCTACTGCCCCGCTCCTAACTCTGCCCACGTGGTTGGTTACATCACAGCGCCGCCCCCCCACTACATCCCCCCCCCCATCTAACGTACCTCACTCATTAGCTCGTGGCTAGCGAACCCTTTGTGTTCAATGAGCAGGGCTAGCAGCTAACAAGTCAGCAGGAAAACCTTGTTTATCAAACTATATAAAATCATAATAAAGACCAAAAGAAAAGTAAACATTTTAATGTTGAATAGATGTTTTAAAAATCTAAATTTAACAGTGTAGTTTTCCTGTGTTGGCATGTTAGCTTCACATGCTAAAGGTTAGCTCGTGGCTAAGTGAATCACTTCCTTTTCAAAAGGTTCATTATTTTTTTTTTAGAGAACCTACGATGACGTCAAGAGTTCAGTTTGTTAAAGTTCGTCACGTTTTGTCAGCCAGCCAGCCAGCCAATCAGAGAAGAGAGGGGGCATGGCCAGTCCCTGTTTATTGATGAGGGATCTATTTGTGTTGAGTCTGTTTGTTTTTTTTGGGTTTAATAAAGTTTGTGTTTCACCAGCAGACGATGATGATGCTTCCTGTCGGGTCACATGACCTTTCTCATGTCTTCACATGCTAACAGGCTAGCATCCTCAGTTTATTAGGATTTATACACGTGTCTCGTTGTCGTCATGGTAACAGCTCGGGGGGGATCTCCACAGTCCAGAGGTCCCGACCCCCCGGGGTCCTCAGAGGCCCCCTGAGCCAGCGGGGGTTGGACAGGTGAGTCAGGTGTTTCTCCTGCAGACCAATCAGAACAGCCGACAGCTCCAGGTGATGTAGCTCCTCCTCCTCCTGCAGGGAGGCGGGGCACAGCCAGGTCCCGCCCACATCCACCAATCCTTAAAAAGAGGTGTGGTTATCACAGGTGAGGGTGATGTCTTCAGCGACGACTTGCAAACACATCGACCGATGTCAATCTATGGAAGCCCATAAAAATACTGAAAATAAAAAGCAGCAACACTTCAGGTGTATCCTCCTGTAACCATGACAGTGAGCAGATGTTTCCAGATGCTGCTCAATGAAGTAGTCTTCAATGTACTCTCAATACATTTATATATCAAATGTAGAGTAACCTGTAGAGCTGCTCGTTTGATTGTGTTAAAGCAGTGGTTCTCAACTGGTGTGTATGTGTATAAAATATTTTCAAGAAGTCTAACGTCTGTAGTAAACAGACATCAAATAAAGAAAGTACACATCAATTATATTTTAACAAATAGTAATTTTTCAAATTTAACTGGATGGATTATAAATACATAGAAATAAATGTTCTCATTTCAAGTAAAATAATGGCTGGATTAAAAAATAAATTGCGTAACAAAATTCATTTTAGAAAAATTATTTTCACTGAATCCAATGACTCTGGTCTCTGGCCATTCTTCTCTTTTGGAAATCATCCTACGATTTGACTTTCACAACTCGCACTTCAACAGTCCTGCTCTGCTGTCTATCTCCTCGTCTCTCCCCCGTGTGTCACGGTGTGTGTGTAACTGACTCTTAAGAGGTTCTGTGAATATTGCCAACAAACATTTTACTTTGCAAGCCACTAAGTTAATCACTTCCTACCAGCCATTATTTTGTAAGTGCCTTTTTTACGTTTTTGGGTCCTTTATTTTGAAGTCATCTTGGTGAAACCGGAAACGGATCGAAATTGTCAGCATATTGTAACTTGACTTCGCATAAAGAAAATTACGAAAATTGACGGAGACTGAAGGAAAGGTGTTATAAAATATATTCTTCTGAAATAATTGTTTCCTAATAACTGTTAAGCACCTAGCTGGAACGGGAACAAGGTATTGTGTTCATTGTGTGTTTGATATATTACTGTTTCAACTAGATGCTAATGTTAGCTTAACAGGTATAGCTAAATGACTAAGCTGTAATTTCAAGCTAACGCTAGATTTCGGTTTAACATATGCTTTTGAGAAGTATACATGAAAGAAAGTGGTTGATTAATCTCACATGTATATTTAAATGTCAATTTCTGAATGTTTAAACTCGTAAGAGCTCATTTATGTTGTATGTGTTCCGTAGCTCTTACGGTGTTTTCTGGAGAAAGGAGAGAAAAGTAAATTTGTGTTCATCAAAATAAGGATGACGGTTGAACATAAAGGCCTCTGGAAACATCAGTAGGCCTTTTCCTGCACCGCTGAGCAAGTGCCTAAATGCTGGAATAATTCCGCTGCATAACAAATGCCCTTCAAAATAAAATCACTTTTTTTTTTTGTCAGGCAAAGGCCTGTGACCCACTGAAAACGGGTCCACGACCCACTTTTGGGTCGCGACCCACCAGTTGAGAATCACTGTGTTAAAGTATCTCATAATTTCTCTTTAGTTGTATTTTTTATGTAAATTATTTAATTTTTGCTGACAGTAATGGGCTTCCATACCCGTCCCACCTGACATCACACATCTCACCTGCCACCACTCCGCGGCCGAACCTCTCTCCGGAGTCCAGGAGCGCTCGTATCTGGACCCGGTTCATCCCCAGCGGGCCGCTCAGTACCGCCCTCCAGTCCTCATCCTGGTCCCAGTCCCGCTGGGCGATGTGGACCGCCAGGGTCTGGTTCTCCAGCGGGGCCAGCAGAGGCCTCCAACGGCTCTCCACCGTCTTCAGCCCGTCCAGAACCAGACCTGCGTACGGCTGCCGGAACGACAAGCACCGCACCTGGAGCGACATGTCTGTAAAACAAGCGCACCTTTAGACCGTTCAAGAAGTTTAATAAGTTTTATTCTTTCATTAATATAAACATTAATATAAATGTTTGACCTTTATTACAGTAACAAACATTCACTGTGATCATCCGTCCAATACGTATTTATTCTTTATTTAATAAATGTATTGTTTGGTTCTTAATAAACAGAGGAACCCGGTACTAAAGGAGCAGCTCTCTGAATGGGGTCTGGTAGAACCCGGTACTAAAGGAGCAGCTCTCCGGAGATAGAAACGGTCCGTTCGTGTTTATCGTTACCGGTCAGTAAAGCGTTCACGTCTCTCCAGACTTCTTCTTCTGTTGTTCCCGCTGCTTTCACTCACTTCCGGTCCGAGTGAATTTCTTCTTCTTCACGTTAAATAATGCGCAGCTCTGCTGCCCTCCACAGGTGAGGTAGGCTACCATAGTTACGGGTGTACTGCTGCTCTCACTGAGAAGTACTGTAGTAGTACCCTAGTAGTAGTACCGCGGTAGTACCGGTACTACCACATTAGCTAGAGGGAGCCCGTTAGCCACACCGGGTCCTCCTCAGAGCCGGAGAAGCTCAACACAGAGGCGGACAGACCGCAGTCAGTGCGCCTGTATTCTGATCTTTACGGTAATCAAACAGCTCAAGACCCGAGCGGTTGACGTTAAACTGCGAGCTGGTGAACTTCCTGTAGCCGTTAAGCTAACGTGTGACGTGAACTACAAAGTCACGTTTCCTTTGATAACAACACATCCGGTTAACTGACGTCTAGTAAATGTTAACTCTCAATCTTTACAAAGATATGAACCAATTTAAACACCTTGTTACCTGTTCAACTGGAGCTAAGAGGAATTTAACACATTTATACACTTTTTACTCCACATTAAATACCGGAAGCTCTACTGCCGTTTGTGTGTTTCTGTCAAGGTACGCTGACCACCTGAGACCAGGTTCCTTTCAAAATAAAACACAGGAAACACCACAATAAAAGCCTTAACAAAACAACTTCACACAGTAGTCTCAAAGAAACAGAACAAAGATGGAGT